CCAGAGAGTGGGACCTCTGATGGCAGATTGATTGCTGCGGTATAGGATAGAATGGCAGCCTCATTGCATTAAGACGCAATCAATCGGGCCGCAACGCCGCGATTGAGGGGGGAAGTGTTTTCCCCTTTGTCTAATTAGGCATTGTGTCAATTCGGTAAGGACCTGAAATAACATGGTCCGCGTCCTCCCAGAGTAGAACACCTTGGGCCGGTCGTCGGGGTCGTTTTTAATGGAATCACCACATACATATTAGTAGGTAACCTTTTCACGGACACTGCTTTTCAGAAAATTCGAAGCTTTTGTCTTATAAATTAAAATAAGATAATTAATATTAATTCAGTTCGGTGTAAGATTTATTTATTTAGATAGTAAATTGTTAAAAATTACAACTTCAAGGTCGGAATTCTAAAAAATCGAGATAGGTATGTTAAAAACCACTCTAAGTACAATATTTTAGATATTTTATTAACTTGATATCCTGAGGAGTAACATTTTTAACATAAAAGCACTGCATAGTTACAGATGTATTTGTAACTCCTCAACAATTTTATAAGTACCCTAGTACTTCCGCATTGTTGAGCATGTAATTTTTTATGGTGTAGGCGGCAAATAAGCGGTCACCTAATAGTAACTTCCCATGGACTGGTGAACACTTGCAACTCAAGAGACTCAAGTAAGTACGTTGCCGCCGTATTTGAGTGCCCCTCCCCTCTCCCAGTAATAGGGAGGGATGGGTATGCCTCCGGTAACCTCAATTATTCGGTGAAAAGAAAAACGACCTAAGAATGATTAACCCCTGTTACCGAAGGGCCGTGGTAGGGTAGAACTCCGCCACCCCCCCAACTGTATCCTCACGTTGTCGTCGTGGGGGGGCGCGGGTCAGTGATTTTTGAGGCTATGCCGCTTAAGAGTCACTCATGGGGGATTGGCTCAGAGGGAGACTTCAGACTAAGAAGGATACTCGGTGGCACCCTTCTTGGGTCACCGATAGTTGCTCAACTGTCCAAAGTGGAGGACTGCGGAGTCCTCGGTTGGGCATAAATTTACGCTTGCCCGGGTATTGGAGACTCTGCTCGGGTCGACCTATATTTCTCCGCCACTCGTGGGTTTAGTTATGGAATCAATAAATTTTAAAACAAGTAGAGAAAATAAAAAAGATGAAGAAGGGTATGAAGAAGACACGACGAAATAAGAAGTCGTCAGTAGAAGCTGCGTCAACTGATGACGAAGTTTCACGCGAGATCACTCATTTGGCGAACCCCTCAGCCATGTTGTTGCCACCAAAAGTGGCAACTAGTCTAAGAGGGAGGTCGAGGTCGAGGACGCGCACGCTAATACCAGCTACAGCGGGTTCTGCCGCCTTTTCAGGGTCGGGAGCGTATTTGGGAGCTCGAACGGATGGCGAGACAGCTGCCGAGGAGGAAATTACAGGTCTGCTGCAGAAAATCCAGGTGCCGATGGAAGAAGGCTCACTCCCCCAAACACCTGTATCCATGCATGAAAAAGCAAATGCAGCAGTGGCCACTAAGTCTACAAACACTGTCCCGCTTGTGCAGCGTGTAATCTGCCTGCCAATCACCAGATGGTCCATCTGGTGGAGACGGTTCAGTAATGGACCAAGACTCCAGCCTCCTTGTAACCTCCTAAACTAACCAGAATCACTGTGTCGGTGCGCAGGATCTCTTCCTGCAAACCATGGTGCATTGGTCGATTGGTGTGCCCGTAGTCGCGCTATTATGTTTCTCCCCGTCCTAACTAGTTGGGTGATTGGGATGACTCCGTGGCAGTCGTCAGCTCCTCGGCGACTCATTCCCTGCCAGGCAAGGGCACTGGATATGTTGCTGCCGAGTGGGGGGGATCACTATATATGGTGTGTACTTCTCCTCCAAACGGGGTTTGAGCGTTTCCAAGTTTTCCTAAATAACTTGGAGACCTCGATGCGGCGACTAGCGTCTGGGCACATCCTTGTGCTGGGGTCTTCAACGCAAAGTCCATTGCGTGGGGTTCTCCCAGGACGGATGCAAGGGCGCAAGGCTGTAGAAGAGTGGGCCTTTCGTTCACTACCCCTGCCCCCGCCCACGAGTAAGGAACTGACATGTCCTAGAAGAAGTCGACACGCTCTCGGATGAGTTGACGAACCTCCGAGCGGCCTGTACTCGTGCCCGGAGATCCTACACCCGCAGTCGCCGACGTCACCGTGGAGATGTTGAGGAGGACTACCTTCATGAGAAGTACCGACAGGCACGGAAAACTCTTAAGCTGGCCATTAGCCGCGCCAAAGAGGAAAAAAGTAAGGAGATGCTACAGGATCTCGATCGTGACTACTTGGGTCGCTCGGAAAACTCTGAGGCTGGCCATCTGCCGCGCCAAGGATGTGAGTAGAGAGGAGGTGCTGGAGAGTCTCGAGCGTGACCCATGGGGTCGCCTTTATCGTGCGGTGCGTCAAAAGCTCCGCACGTCGGGCCCCCCCCTTACGGAGACTCTCCAGCCCAGCTTCCTGCAGGAAGTGGTTGAGGGCCTTTTCCCGCAACGGGCGGAACACACTCCACCGGCGATGGCCTCCTCGGCCGGAGACGACCAGGAGAGCGAGGATGATGTTCCGCCCATCACGGATGCACAGACAGGGGCGACTGTTCTACAGATCCGTTCTTTGGACACCGCCCCGGCCAGATGGGATACCTGCTTGAGTGCTGGCCTAGGTGTTCGACGCTAGTTTGGTGTCCGGACGTTTTCCTGAGTGCTGGAAGACCGGGAAGCTGGTCCTGTTAAGGAAACCGGGACGGCCTGCCGATTCGGTCGCTGCCTACAGGCACATCATGTTTCTGAACGGGGCCGGTAAATTGTTTGAGAGGGTTCTCTCTGCCCGCATCGTCCGGCACCTCTGCGAAGTCGGCCCTGATCTGTCGGACGCCCAATTTGGTTTTCGGGCGGGGCGTTCGACAGTACGCTATTTTGCGCCTAAGGGCCGTCACCGAAGAAGCCGTATTGGATTGTGAATATCGTTACCTCTTCATTATAATATGAAAATAAATATATTTATAAATAAATATAGTTTGTATATGAAATTTAGAGTAGTTTTAAGTTTGTCGTAAATTCTCGTTATTAAAATTTGCGTTACTAATATTACTTTATTAATTTCCTTCTTGAAGATACGGACACATTAGGTTGTATACAGTTAGGCAAAATTGTTAGTTTTACTCGTAGTATCTATCTACTCAGTAACATTTCTGAAATGTGTTTTCTAATTAGGTTATAATTAGGTATTTCGTATAAAACCCAGTTAAGGTTTTACTGTTACGAAACCCTTAATACATATTAAAAGCTAAAATGAGGGATGGGATGCAGTATAAAACCAATCTTTACAAAACATATTTAATTGTCAATTAACAAAACTAAAAAGTAATAAAAATTTAAATAACACCTCTGTTAATAAAACAATTTTCCTTAAAAGTAATCAGGTTATCTTAGAACTATGTGTGCAGGTAAAGCTCATATCGTGCTTTTAGATTAACGTTTGTATAATAATGAGAACCTTATCTTTTTTGAAGTCGGTTAAAAGAGTTGGAACAATTGCATGTAAACGACGTAGATAAGAATTTCAAGCTTAATAGCTGCATTATTTTGACTGTCGCTATTGTATCATCTAGTGTTGTGGATGAAGCAATGGCGATAATGAACATATTCACGCAGTGATAATACACACTTAAATTTTCTCAGTTAGGTCCAAACAAGCGTATCAAAAACTCTTTAGACTTCTTTTTACCTAAGAACTTTATGGAAAAGTATCAAAATGTTACTTTTCCGTAAAGCTATCCATACTAAAATTATAAATGCGAAAGTGTGTTTGTTACCTCTACACGTTAAAACCGCTGAACAGATTTAGATGAGATTTGGTATATAGATAGTCCGAGTCTCGGGAAAGGACATAGGATAGTTTTTATCCCAGAAATCATCCTTTAAGGGGTGAAAAGGGTTTGAATTTTGTATGAGGCATCAATAACCGCTGAACCGATGTAGATGAAATTTGCTATGGTAATATATGCTTAAGGAAAGACATAGGCTACTTTTTACCGCGACAACAGACATTTACGCAGGCGGAGCCACGCGCAAAAGCTAGTAAGGTAAGCAATATAACCAAAGGTAACACGTTGAGTAAAACGACAAATGTTTTTTATATTAATGTGATTGCGCGGTGGAGGCGTAAATTAGTTGTCATCAATCGTTAACATACAACGTGAAAATATATCGCATAATATAAAATTTTGTACTAGTCAATAGAACCCAACCAAAAGAAAGAGAAATAATATAAGTACTAGAATGAAATTACATTTGAATTGAAATTTAAATGAATATTTTTTTTTTGTGGCATTTGTTTTAAAAGAAATACGACACAATAGACATTTGCTCGAATACAATGGAATTGGGAAATTACCTTCATCCTAAAAACACCGCGCTTAACTACCACTACTTTTCGTCTTGGGATTCTTTGGGACTTTTACCACTGACTCCATACCAAACGCGAATCCATTAACCATGCAAAAAGTGTAAAATGAATATTATATTTGTAAATTTAATCACATTAATATAAAAAACAGCCAATTCTATAGCAACTTATTCTTTCACTGCATGTTAAGTAATAATAAAATGTAGTTACCACTTTTTATTCATGTTTTAAAAATAGAATTGCATCATTTAATTGTTCTTTCCCTAAATGTATAGAAAATCGATTTGAGTTCAAGGGCACTATTAGAACCTTGCCGCCATAAGTTATCGATCACGAAAGTAATTACATCGTAATGTGTACTACACAATTGCGCTTTATTATGAAAAGGTTCTAAAACGGCCTTTGAGCCAAATTGGCTGTCTTTACGACTCTAATAATACCACCACCAGTATACTCTCTGGCTACCTTAGAGTTATAAATGAGGGCCTATATTCAACAAAAGGAGGAGTTGTTTTTAAGACACTTATTAATATTCAGGTGTATGCAATACGTCATACTAAGGTTTTTGTTCTGGCACCTTTTGATCGCATCTGTTTACAGGGTTAACTTTACAAGTGATCTTGTACGACTCAACCATTTTAACTGAATCTCTGACTAATATTGTCGACCTAATAGTAAATGAATGCGAAAAGCAATTCTGAGCAACGGAGTCACATAAAGCTGTGTGGAAACTCAGATACAAGCGATAATGGAATTTATCTGTGCGTTGTTTAAGCTTTAATTCCACTCGACCGGGGAGCTTCGTGCCTTTATGAGAAGAGCTTATAAAGTCGAAATCTTCCAAAGTGACATCTTTGTTGTTCTCATCTCTGACGCACACTAGCCAATTCTGCGGAGCTCCCGGAGTAAACTGAACATTTTTAATATCAGCGTCCAAACTTACGTTGAAATATATTATAAGGTTGCCGCATTTTCTGTTTACAAATAAATCATTTTTATACAAGATTAAGTTCTCAGGCTCGGTAAACTTGGGGTCAGGCAAACGAACTTTGAAATCTTGACACACATTTTTAGCTAAATTTAGTATTTTGATACAATGGTTGTTGGTATCCGCTATGTACAGATACTTTCCATCTTGTGTGATAGATAAGCCTGACGGTTCATTAAACTTTGCCGGGTCGGTACTTTCGATCATAGTTGGGTTTAGAGACGTCACTTTTTGGGGTCCGACTTCAACTTTTTTTATCTTGTGGTTGTAAGTATCTGCTACATAAAGAGTTTTAGAAGACTCGCAGTAAGCCACCCCAAGAGGATGTTGAAGCTTCGCATCAATGCCCGTGTCGTCTATATCTCCAAAAGCGAATAAATTCTGAAAAAGAATTAAAGCTATTTGTAATTTAATTGTACTTAATTTTCTAGCTGTATTCTTCTACAATACATTTTTTTTTAATTAAGCCTATCAATATCGAGACAATGTCTTTTTCCAGGTTTATTTAAAATCGAGCGGCAACAACTTTAGCAGCAATCTAATAAGTTACCTCCTTTATTATTCTTGAAATTTCATTTGCCTAAACATTTATCAATAGTTGTAGTTTATGTTTTCAGGTAATTAAAATGCTTGTAACCTCAAAAGGTAATAAAAATCGAATGGGTTATTACGATAGGATTAACAAAAGATTGAGGACAGAAGGATTGAAAGTAAAAGACAAAGTTTTGCAATATGTTCTAATTATCGATTGGCATTAAGGCAACCTGTTAAGTACTAATAAACTACTGCCTTTTACGTAAACATAATTAGACATACCTATTTTATTAAATCATAATAATAGATTACCAATTACTTTTCAATTACAAGTGTACTATGAAATTATTGCACTGTGTATGTTGTACTTAAACTCATAAATACTGCAATTAAAATGTTTTATGTATGGTCTGCAAGAGCAATCTGTACATACCAAAGGATTGCGATCACCGCCACACAATGTTGAGACTTGTCCTGTTGCTAACGCTAACCTTCGAATGGACGAGCTTTCAGAATCCGCTATAAAAATTTCTGGATTGTTACCTGTAACAGATTTCATAACGCATTACATATTTAGGTATAGACCTTTTACAATTGATGTACAGTATGCAATTTATAGATATTGTATACTGTAAATAAATTGTGAATCGTTCTCATGGTTTTTGGATCAAACTGAGCGGAGTAAGCGCTATGTGGACAGACAGGTGTCTTAATTATGTAAAATAGGTTATTATTTCATTAAAAAAGTTTAAAGGCAGTACAGAACTGCTACCAGTAGAAGTATTTGGAAAATTTCACGTTCAAAATAAAATACCCAATTATTACAATGATATCTATATTCAAAAAGGTAGTAGCACTTGTACCATTAATTCTTTGTGACCAAGAAAGGAGGTGTCGCTACTGATCTCCAGAGTACTCTTGCCAAGCACTCTTGGGTATGTGCGATAAGTATTATATGCCTTAAAGTTTCTACTTTACTTTTGTTACTGCATTAGTGAAATTAATTTTTTAAATATTTTTTTAAAAAGACAACTCCCTCACTAGCAACATATACTGTGTCGCAGGAGACTTTACAAACATTTAATAGAACGGACACAAAGAATACCCAGACTCAGAACAACAATTTCTTGATCACACTAAGGGTTGTCCCATAGGGATCGAACCCACAACACTCAGCGCAGTAGGAAGCTTAAACCTAAATGAGATGATAAAAATAGAACCTGTATTGTTATTTCCTTACCAGTCCTGAGCGTTAGGCCCGATGGTTGTGCGAAGGCGGCCGTGTTGGGGTAGGCGCTGTTGCGTGCGGCCTCGGCGCCCGACCCCGCGATACACGCACACGTGCCTAAGGACGGGGTTTCCACAAATAGATCATTACTTTTTATATAATATATTAGAAATTGCAATTACAAGCATTGAAATCAAATAATATATTAATCAAAGCTATAAAAACTAAAATATTCTTCAAAAATTTCATTAATTCGTAAGATTTTTTAATTAAATGTTTTGTGATTGCATTTAATGTTTTGTAACGGTTTTGTTTTTCAGTGCGGCGACATAAAATTTAGAGTGCCCAACAGTAAGTTGTTACATTATATTGTATTATCATACCTTCAGTATAGGTTTTGTATTTCCACCAAATAGTAGTATCTAGAAATAGCGCCCATATTTGATGGGAGCCAGCACACGCTATAAGCAGCACTCGACGTTTCTCGTCTTTCTTTTCCCTTTCTAAAAATAACATTCTTAGGTTAATGATGAATGATTTATTAGGGTAAAGTATCGAAAAGATTCTATATCTTCATAAAGGCTGTTAGTGATAATTATAACAGTTCAGGCAACAGCCAACCACGCAAATATTAAATCGTATATATTAGTTACATTATCGTCTTAAATTTACTTTTATAGTCACCTTTCACTTCTTCCAAAGCCTCAACGTCCTTATCGGGAACCGTTTGTCCTGCTGTTGGTGGCGGTGGTGGAGGAGGTAACAACGGTCTTACCGACATGTCCATATCAGGGGTAGTGTAAAGAAGTAAATCCCAAGGTGACGCTAATGGTTGAACTCCAAGGCATTTACCACCTGAGAAAAGAAGATAGAAAACCATATATATAGATTAAGATATGTAGGTACTGTTACTAAATTAGATTAGATCATACCCAGGTCACCATGTGCAGCTTGTTCACCAGTGCCGGCTAGAATTTCTACCGTGCCTTCATCAAGATGAATTGCTCGAACCGCATGGTTATTTGTATCACACACAGCTAAAACGTTACTGGACAGCCAACATACGCCCTGTGGTGAGTTAAACTGGGCTTCATTTAATTCTGTGTAAAGAAATTCATAAATAGTACAACATCGCTTTATATCATAAAATTTTGTTCTTAATTAAACAAGCAAATTCTTCATTCATTCATTCTTTCAAAAAAAGTCTTGCATCAATTGATGTTTGAATGTGTTGAGTCATGAACAGTTTTGTCTTATAAAAAATGAAAAGAAAGAAAGTTACATTTACGCTCCCGCTTCAGTTTTTCAGAAGAAGATATAATCTAGTAGCTATGCAATATTTTTCCTTAAATAACTGCTGAAATAGAAACATACTGCCGTCTTTGAAGCCCGCATCAGGTCCACCGATAATTCTCAATACGATTCCAGAACAATCCGTAAGTAGAATTCGATTATGTCCAGTATCCGAGATCGCCAGGAATGCCTCTTCAGAACGCCCTCGATAGAACGGATTTAGAGCAATCTGCAAAATAAATTATATATTTTCCGTGAGGACACTTTCTTTACAAATTAACATGAGTATTATAAAAAACTTGAAACAAAACCTACACCAACCAGTCGATAACCAGCACGGTATAGTAGGCCAAAACCTTTCTAAGGAGAGGCCTATATCCAGTAGTGTACCATCAAAGGCTGTTGATGATGAATCACATTATGAGTCTTTAATAGAATTAATAGAAAAATAAAATAAATAATCGTCCGTGTGGTGACGGATTAACGTCCGTGTGGTGACGGATTAACGTCCTTGTGGTGACGGATTAACGTCCGTGTGGTGACGGATTAAGAATACAGAGTGTCACCACCCCTATTCATCCCGTGGGTGTCGTAAGAGACGACTAAGGGAGAAAACTACGAAGAACAACAGCACTGCAGAGAGAAGGAAAACTTGACACAAACCCTATACCAACCCGTCTGGCCAGCGTGGTATAGTAGGCCAAAACCTCCTTTCTAAGGAGAGGCTTATGTCCAGCAGTGGACTATTAAAGGCTGTTGATGATGATGATGATGATTAGAATTACATTTTGTTGTATTGAAGACCAAAGTGGCAGAATATTTTTGCAAAAAGTGCATCCACAATAATGGTTAATAGGTCAAATATATATTTAAACTTTTGATATTTTATTGCTTTCTTTATAAAATTGTAATTTCATACTCAAGGAGAACATCATGTGTTATATTTACATTTTAATGCGGCTATTTCAATGATGACTTTCAAAGACTAAATACTTATGTTGAAACATTTACTAACCTTACTCGGGAAGTACAGTAGCTCTTCCTCTTTAGCTTTCAAATGTTTCGCTGGACAAATGGGAAGTTCAGAAACAGATATACGAGAACCAAAATATGCCAGTGTTGCTCCAACATACGATACAAGTTCTTGTCTATGCCCCTCGCCAGTAAGAATAAATAAAGGCTTGTTGCCTGGCCCTGCAGAAACAAAATTGAGTTTTTTACATTCCACAATGTTTTACTTCCTTAGAAAAGCAAAAGGAATTTCAAGCATGTAAAACTTATGTACACCTATACTAAAACCAGCACCGAAACTCATTACAAAAATTGCTCTTTTAGTGTTAAACGGGTTTTTTGTGTTTTAAGTAATGGAACATAAAAAATAATACACAATGAGAGTGACTATTATACTATATGTACTAAAAAAATATAAGCTGATTACATTAGATACGAAATGTACCAAAATCACTGTAATAATTTACATAATTATGGCACATGCTTTCACCACAAAGATTTTCAATAAAGATATTCATAAAGGTTAAAAATCTGTAATTATGAAATAAGTAATAATAAAATGTATATTTATTTTGCAAACTAATGGAACAACCGAATGATGTACCTAATTATTCATCTAGTTATATAGTATCTATATGTTCCAATCTGTATGAGGATACATATGTATACATGTAAATATTTGTGTATGTATTATGAACATGAATCACACTAATATAGCATATTATATTGCTATTTATACAAGAATATTAATATGCAATATAATCGACACAAACACAATAACCACCCATATTATTCTTTGCACTCCTGTCCATCCAAAGTTGCCTTGTATACATCGCTTTGTGCATTTTTTGTATCTTTTTTTTTTTGTTTCTGTATTTTTTTTATTGGTGTACAGTACCGAGACTAACATACTTACAGTTTTAAGTTAAATACTTGCATAACATTCTAACATAATGCCATCATCAAAGTCCACTTATGCAGTATAGTACCACATAAAACTATGATAATCACATTACTTGATAGTTATATAGATAGTTCCTTATTCCATTAGGTAAAGAATTCATATGACTAAATCCTAATAATTAAGTATGTTTTAATCAACTGTTGTAAATTATAAAACATAAATCTAACACATGAAGAGGTTTAGAATTCATTGAAAGGCAATATAAGAATTTACAATTAAGAGCATAAAGCGGTCCTCAGAATTTCAGAAAAAAAATCTTAGAGAACCCGATAATTCAATCCACATTTATTTAACAAAATATTTCTACCTAATATAAGTAGAGTTGGCCAACATCTGATTCCTAGTGCATCCCACATGCAACTGTCAGCATCATTTACAACAGGATGATGAATATTATATCTCTGCACAGCTGCTAAAACATTGGCAGAGTTTTTCTCATTTGCAAACTTGGCACAGTGGACACCTATCTGTAAAAGACGAAAAATGTTACTCTGTACAAAATAAATAAAAAATAAAACTATTAGTGCAAGTTGTAACATTTTCACACATCATTTGAAAATAGAAGTTTCTTTAATTTTTTTTTGTTTTTAAAGCAACAGTATTAAAACAATATTGTCAATCAGTGTAAAATCAGTACAATATTTGTCCATACCTATTTTGTTTTATATTAGTGTTATTACTGTATACTGTATACTGAAATAAAATATGTTTTCTTTCTTTCTTACTGTCATTACTAACAAGGGCTCGTGTTTAAGTGGTAACCGAGTAGGTTAACACATTACAAAATTTACCTTCCGTGTTTCGGAGAGCCGGTTAAGCCGTCACCCCGGTAGCCATACGAACCTCTTGCAATTGTTACGGGGTAGTTCTTAGTTGCAACCCTATATAGTCCCAGAACAGTCTTTCTACCAAACGTCGATATAGCCGAGAATTTGACTTGTGGAGGTCTGATGGTAGTCGCTCCACGTAAAAAATCAAAGTTCAGCCGTATCCTAGTAGACTTATAGACGACCCCAACCTAGTTTGGAAAAAAGGCTCGGGAGTCTACTAATCAATAATAATGTGAGTTCTAGTAACTTGAACACAAGGCCGTCGGGTACCGGTGTGCAGAGTGTGCACCGCACACGGGCAGCATTTTCATGGGACCGGCACACACATAAATTGAATTATATTTCTACATCACCTGAAGTTTCTCAAAAATAACAGAAGCTGGGCAAATTATTTAATTACTAATATCAACATTATTTTGCCGGGGTAACGACGACAGCAAGTTAGTAAAAGTTTTCGATGATATTTAAAATATGACTATACATGTTGCCACAGTAGCCGTGTGGTTCTCGGCGGAGTAGAATAAGGCCAACCCATCTCTTCCCGTGGGTGTCGTAAAAGGCGACTGAGGGAATCTTTTGGACTTTTTATCATAAGACAGTATATATACAGTCCGTGCGGTACTTGTCTTTTGCGGTTGGAGAGGCCACCAGGGCCTGATACATACCGCAGTCTAAGTCCTGTCTCCCATCCTAGTACTCCCCCACCCTAATTTTCCTCTCTCATCCAATCCTCTCACCCCCGATGTTTCCTTTTTTCCCTTCCCTATCGTATAAACGACTACATTCCCAAGGAGGGTTGGGGACAGGCAGGCGGCCGGCCATAAAATTAATTAGCCAAAAACATTTTAATGCAGTATAATATGATACAAATTGAGTGCGATAGTGCTAGGGCGTACCCCGTAGGCGACGCGCGGCAGCAGCACCCATCTACGCGAATAAGTGGACAAGGGTTGTTGCACCACCCGAGGCCGGTGCAACGTAAGAAGCAAGCCCGAGAGGTGAGGTTGAGGTATGCAAGTTGGAAAGTAGGGAGTATGACTGGAAGAGCGAGAGAGCTAGCAGATGTGTTGAAAAGAAGAAGAATAAACGTGGCATGCTTGCAAGAAACAAAATGGAAGGGTATGAAAGCAAGAGAGATAGGAGAGGGGTACAAGTTTTATTACTGCGGAAGTGATGGGAAGAGAAATTGAGTGGGTGTAGTATTGGATAGTGCCCTGAAAGAGTGTGTGACGCATATAAAGAGGGTGAACGATAGAATAATAGTACTAAAATTAGTATGGGAGAGCGTAATTATGAATATTGTTAGCGTGTATGCACCTCAAGCTGGATGCAAGGATGAAGTGAAAGAAAAATTTTGGGCCGATTTTAACATGGTTTTGATAGGTATCCCTGAAAGTGAAGAACTTTTGATAGGTGGAGATTTTAATGGTCATGTGGGAACAACGAATGAGGATTATGAAAGAGTACATGGAGGAAGGGGGTTCGGAAGTAGAAACATTGATGGTGAGTCTCTGCTCCAGTTTTCCTCTTCGTTTGACCTGGCAATAGTTAACACATGGTTCCAAAAACGTCACGAACATCTGATCACGTATAAAAGTGGTAGCCACGCGACACAGATTGACTACTTTCTCATAAAAAGAAGTAAGTTGGTTTGTGCCCGAGACTGCAAAGTGGTGCCCGGGGAACCCGTAGTATCGCAACATAGATTGCTGGTAATGGAGGTCAAATGGAAGAGTTTGAGTAAGAGTAGGAAGAACCGACCTTCTCCAAGAATCAGGTGGCGAATGTTAGAGAAAGAAGAGTATGCAAGTAACTTTAAGGTAAAGGTGATAGAAAAAATGATTGCAAGGCTAGATAAGTCTGTGGATGGATGGTGGAGTGAAATGGCAAATTATATACGAAAGATAGCGAGAGAAGTACTTGGGGAAACAAATGGAAAAGGCATTTTTGAAAGAGATACATGATGGTGGAGTGATGAGGTACAGAAAGCTCTAAAAGAAAAGAAGGATGCCTTTAAAGCGTGGAAAAATGAAAAGGTCTGTGAGAGAATGAATGAATATAAAGAGTGGAAGAAAAAGGCAAAAAAAGCGGTAGCGGTAGCCAGAGCTCAAGCTCAATATAACATATTTAAACACCTACATGAACCTAGAGGTCAAAAAGAACTCTACTGCATTACAAAGAACAGGGAAGAAAAAGCAAAAGACCTGAAGCATGTGAGATGTATACAAGATGAAGAGGGGAGAGTGTTGGTTAAAGATGAAGATATAAAAAAGCGATGGAAAACTTACTTTGAAAAACTTATGAATGAAGAGAATAAATGGAGCGGAGTGCTAAAGCATGTGGATGTGAATGTCGGACTGGTGAACGAGATTAGTATAGATGAAGTTAGATTGGCAGTACGAAGTATGAAAAATGGAAAAGCAGTTGGCCCCGACGGTATACCGGTGGAAGTTTGGAAACTACTAAATGAAGACAGATATGAGTGGCTGACTCTATTCTTCAATATGTTGTTGCTTGAAGAGGTAATCCCAAAGGAATGGTGTCAAACCCAACTCGTACCCATTTTCAAAAATAAAGGAGAAGTTCAGGAATGCAACAACTATCGAGGAATAAAGCTCATGTCACATACTATGAAAGTCTGGGAGAAAGTGATTGAGAGAAGAATAAGAGATGAGAGTCAGATAACCCAAAGTCAATTTGGGTTTATGCCAGGATGCGGGACAACAGAAGCTATATTTGCAATGCGCCAACTATGTGAGAAATACAGGAGTGCGCACAAAAACTTGCATATAGTGTTTGTGGATCTCGAAAAGGCATATGATAGGGTACCCCGAGAGGTTTTGTGGTGGGCTTTGAAAGAAGAAAGAGTGCCTGTAAAGTATGTAGATCTGATTCGTGCTATGTACAGAGAGTCTAGCACTCATGTAAAGTCGGTCACGGGAAACACTGATCAATTCAGTGTCTCTGTAGGCTTGCACCAGGGATCAGCTCTGAGCCCATACCTCTTCCTATTGATAATGGATGCTCTGACATCGGACATACAGGAGGAGGCACCTTGGTGCATGCTATTTGCAGATGACATTGTGTTGGTCGGTGAAGATGGGGTTGAGGTCCAGAGCAGACTGGAAAAATGGTAGCAAAGGTTGGAGAATGTTGGCTTGAAAATCAGCAGAACCAAAACTGAGTACATGTTCTACGATTTCGGAGGTCTCTCCAGTCCTGAAACCATTTCGCTGGATGGGATAGCGATAACAGTCTGCTCCAATTTCAAGTACCTCGGCTCCCTCTTACAATGTGATGGTGAGATTGATCGAACTGTTCAGCTTCGAATCAATACGGGATGGATGAAGTGGCGGAAGGTAACGGGAACAACTTGTGACCCCAGTTTCCCCTTAACACTAAAGGGACAAATTTATAAAACTATTATCAGACCTGCCGTCCTGTATGGCTCTGAAAGTTGGCCCATTAAGAGAACGGATGAGAGACGCCTGAACGTAGCCGAAATGCGAATGCTGAGATGGATGTGTGGTGTGACTCAGATGGACAAGGTTAGGAATGAGTATATACGAGGGAGTCTGAAAGTAGCGCCACTGGATGAAAAGTTAAGAAGTAATAGGTTATCTTGGTATGGACATGTCATGCAGAGGGATGAGAAAAATGTGGCAAAGAAAGTTTTAGGTATGAGAGTTGAAGGGTACAAGAGAAGAGGCAGACCGAAGAAGAGGTGGATGGACTGCGTCAGGGAGGATATGGCTAGGAAGGGAGTAAACAGTGAGATGACGCATGACAGAGTAGAATGGAAAAATTCATACATACTGCGCCGACCCCAAATAAAATTGGGAAAAGGGTAGGCAGATGATGATGTTGCCACTATTTAGATGCCTACTCACAAAGTGCTAGTAAAGTATGTATAGCAACTCACCACAACTAAACCATTACCAACTTTATGAAGTTTTTCTATATGCTCTAGATCAGGTAACACATGGTAACAGTTGATGCAGCAATATGTCCAAAAGTCTAAAATAACTACTTTTTCAGTGCAGTGCTGTGATAATGATATGGGTTCAGAAACATTCACCCATTCTAAATCTGCAAACCCAAAAATTAAATTCAGTTAATAATAAATATAATAATATTTTATATCCAAACCTTTAAACTATATATATATATCGACTGAAAAAATCTATAAATACTATTTAAAGCGTAACGCGTTTTCACAACAAATATAAAACACTGAACAAATTTGTACAAATCTAACATTTTACGCTGCTAACAACATGCAAATGTGAATGGGAACTTAATAGAAAGCAAAGTGGATGTTAACAGACAATGTCCTCGCTTTCTTATTAAAAGCTGAACTTTTTGCTGAACATAAAACGTTTCAAGATATTTTGTATTCATAACATACTTTTTTTAAAGTCTTCAATTGAAGTAACAGCAGAAGAAACTTTCTTAATATGGTTTGTAATAAGATTGTCTCGTTCAGCTTCACTTTCTACTGAGCCGATAGCTTCAGTCAAATCCATACAGGCTTGAGCTACATAATCTAAGATACTAGATTCCATTTTAGCGAAATACTCAAAGTAATGATAAAACAAAATAACAGTTGTTTTCTGGTAATGACATTATGACATTGACATTCCTGAGCAGTGTGCCGTTATAAAATATTCCTATCTACTAAGTTCGGCAACTTTTTCTACTAAAATCTACTGAATTAATAAAATCTCCCAAAATTCTACTTATTTCATTATTTACGAATTTGAAAATCATGTATTGGAATATAAGGAAGTAAAAAAAAAAAGTGGCAGCTGCAAGCTGAAAAAAAGCAAAGGTTTTATGACAACTCTTGATGGATGTTTGCGCTGTGTTTAAATATAAAGACTAACTAAACTAAAGATTATATTAGTTTAGGTTTAGAATTTACAATTCATTACATGTTGAAATAGGTAATAAATTAAGGAAATGGAAAATACTTATTGGACATAATATATGCAGATGTACATAAGTATAAGGTGATTATTTCCTATATGAATATAACGTGATATAACCTACGAAAGTTCTACAGCTAGAGGACTATAATAATTCCTTATTATCTTTTTTATTTTCAAATAGTTATGTAAAGTCGATAGCCATAGACAAATTGATAAAATAAAAGAAACATTATGCAGCTATGTTATATAAGACTTTTATCGACTAGTATACAGCCTTGGCCAAAAATATTAGGCACCCCAGAAAAATGCACAATTCATGTTTACTGATTGAAAAATGAATAAATGCTTATCTTAGATGGCATGCCGGGGTCACAAATAACTTCCTAGAAAAGCAAGCAGCTATCTGTTATGGTCATAAAACACCTGGTGACTGAAAACAAAGGATTTGTTTTTATGCGTTCTTATCAGTCAATGTTTGGTCACTTGTGTTCAGGACTCTAACGAGTAAACAAGCTTTTATTTCTAACATAGTGATTAAATTGACGCATTGAAGCATAGTATCACATCGAAAACGGCATTAAAAAATGCGTTAGTACAAGAATGGCATGCCATTACAAGGGAGGTTTCTAATAAGCTTGTACACAGCATGCCAGCTAGAATTAGTGCAGTAATTAAATCCAAAGGTGGACCGACTAGATTTTAAGTTGTTTTCATTCTTTTTTGTGTAATTTAATGGTAATAAATCAATTCAAAAAGTATAAGTTGTTTTTTTTTCCTTTATTTTAAGTAAAATGTAGGGTGCCTAATACTTTTGGCCAAGGCTGTATAGTTATCTGTGCTTTTATCTGTGGACTCTTTTAAAGAGAGTCCAGAGTGCGTAATTGAAAAAGTCAAATACTTATATCTTTATTCCTATTCTTTTCCAAACAAAAATTGTTTTACACATAGATTCTATAAAAATAGCCGAATTCGACGGGCCTGTTGGTCTAGTGGTTAGTGACCCTGACTGCTAAACCGGAGCTCGTGGGTTCGATTCCCACCCAGGACAAATATTGTGTGATGAGCACGGTCATTTGTTCTGTGTCTGGGTCTAATTTATCTATAATATGTATGTATTTAGAAATATATAAGTATGTTTATCAGCGGTCTGGTTACCATAGTACAGGCTCTGCCTAGTTTGGGATCAGACGGCCGTGTGTAAGTGTGTAAAAAAAAAAAAAAAAAAAAAAAAAAAAAAAAAAAAAAAAAAAATATTTAATATTTTTTTCACTGCAAGACGGTGCACTTTGATTCCAAATATTTTTTTGTATAAAGACCCGCCATTGTTCTTTGTACAATTTACAGATATTATCATATTTCAATTTCTTATTACTATCTGTTAATATATGAACGCTCGCCCAAAACTTATCAGTATCCTGTGACACTAGAGTCACTGGACGATGCCGGTAAATTTTGTACGTTATTGTCATATTTTAACTGACGATGCTCTTCGTCAATTAATTGTTGTGTATTTTCGTTACACACTAAATTAGTAAACCGTTGAGTCAGTGATACGAGATTAGAAAACTGCTCATACGCCGCTATTTGAAGGTCCAAAAATATTAACTCCCTAAAGAGATGATGTTCCATTGGCAGTCTCTTTTGCAATGGTCTTTTCAAATGCATAGCTCAATTAGAAATAACCGCGACCTTCTTAAAAACTCCTGAACTTTTTGTGTCTGATCCCTACCCAAATTTACAATTAATTTTGCTACTTTAATACCGAAATACATTTGATTAATATCAAGAAAACTTATTTTACTGCTAGGATCAATATTTTCTATAGTAGTCGCTGTTATGTATCCATTTTTAGGTTTCCGTACCTCAAAAGGTAAAAAAGGAACCCTTATAAGATCACTTTCTTGTCCGTCTGTCCGCCGGTCCGTCTGTCGGTCTGTCCGTGTGTCACCGCCGATTTTCTCAGGAACGGGTAGATCTAGCAAGTTGAAATTTATACCAGATACTGAGGTCTATAGTCTCTTCTAGGTGTATAAAATTCAAGGTCCTGAGTCAACACCATAAAAAGATATGGGCAGATTTCGATTTTCGCGAAAACTTGTAAGTACCAAAAAGACATCATTCACGCTCCATACAAAAAGTACCCAAAAAAAAGTGCCGGCCAAAGAAATAAAATGGTTTTATCGGTTAGAGAATGACATTCTAAGATTTTTTCTTTAGACGGCTAAGAGCTAAGACCGATTACTTATGAGTTATATGACTTAGAAATAAAATAAAAATGCATTTATAATACGAGTTCGTCTGAACAATTTTTACTCCATTACTATAGCAAAAATTAAATAATGATAATAAAGAATAACTTCATCATCATCAACAGCCTATAACAGTCCACTGCTGGACATAGGCCTCTCCTTAGAAAGGAGGGTTTGGCCTAAAATAATAACCTACTAAAGAATAACTAAATTGGCCTCATTGTCATCATCAACAGCCTTTAACAGTCCACTGCTGGACATAGGCCTCTCCTTAGAAAGGAGGTAAATTGGCCTACTAAAGAATAACTTAATCTCGCTTAATAATAATATAAAATGACAAAAAGCCTAATTATATACAATCATCATTAGGTACCTAAGTACCTACGTAGGTATTTATGTGTAGGTATTAGTGTTATAAAATATATGTAAAGAAAAAGACTTAATTTCGTTACCTACGTGGCTTTATTCATATGTTATAATTCCGCAGGTCTTACCATAACATTTTCTAAACCTAATGCAGGTGGATTTATGGGAGGTTGTTGGTGCCTCGCGAACGTCATGTACCATACTATGCACATAGTGTCGGAACAGCAACCCACCGTTCTTTTGCCAACATTGCATGAGCAATAATAATACGGTATGGCATCGGGGCCACTGAATGATGTGTCGATGCCAATGTAAACATAATATACTCTGGGACGAACATGCCGAGATTGTACTCTTCCTCTTATAATTATTATGTTTTCTCCCAATTCTCTGACGTGTTCTGTTAAAAGTCTGTCGCCAAGCTCGACCGTAAAAACACCATTTGGATTGATGTGCTCGCCGTAATGGCTTTTAGCTTGTTTTATTTGATAAATACCCAAACTAAATAATATTTAATCCTCTTCTGAGCCTTGGAAAATCATCGAACTCGGGCATATCGGCGGACATCGGCTGAAATTGTGCTCGTCTTCTATTATAATTATGCCTTACAACTATATCAGCTAGCGTGTTAGGGATTGAAATTCTATGGTTTATTATGGCCAAAAAGGATTGGGCATGAATATTGTCATTTATTAGTATATGGTATGCATTAATTATATATACCTAGCAGCCGCTATCTTAAAACAATCAAACATGTGAGGAAGAGCACGATTTATATTGACATGTCTCAAAAATCTAAAATCCCGTTTGAAACGCCCATTAACTACCTCCACAACCCACCGACAGATAGTTACAAGGCGAGTTTTATTTGCTTGCATCGTTGTCAGCTGGGTTTAATTTCGGAGCTTGGCTTCAGGCATATGTGCAAAATATCCCAGTGACTCCATTGGTGATATGGCTTCTCTGAAGCCGGGATCCAAAATAAATACATCACCTTGTCTAAAAAAACAATTAAAAACACCATCGCCGTTGTCAGTTTCATTAGTAATAATGTCGTTCATAACTTGGGCATCGGATGTGGTAGCAGCATGAGGTCCAGATACGTCAATAATGTGTCCATCACAACAGACTATCAAAAAAGGTTTTAATAAGTTGCGGAATTTATGCGGGCTGTATGACTTTCTCTGAAAAAAGTAATTACTACTTTTTTGCAGATATATATAGGTACCATCACAAATTGCGATTGCCTTTCGTTCAGATAGAGGGCTATCGGGATTTTCAAAAAGTGCTTCTGGTAATATGAGGTTTCACTGTGCTACATCCTCTCGCGTTAAATGGTCAAACCCTAGGTGCAGCGGGACAAAATCTTCTATCAATGCCACACGGCCAGTTTTTAACATACGCGCAAAAGTGGATTCACTTGTTCTAAATATCGATGCTAATCGAGCGTTAGAATCTCCAGTTCTGAGTTTCACTAGTACTGCTACTAATATTTTATTTTTATTTTTATTATTATCTAGACAGGTTGTTATAGACAGCAAGTCAGCAAACTGAGCATGTGTAAGACCTGTCCAAGTATGCTACTCATTATCATTTATAACTTCGAGACGAAGTACATGGCCGATCCCATTGGCCGATCCTTTCGATACAGGTTGTAACATGCTCATTTCGATGGTATTGCGTTGTTTAGGTTTTTAATTATTCAGAAATAGTTAATTGATACGAGTACATAAATGTAAATGTTCATTTTTTGATTTTCGGAGATCCATTTTGGGTCTAAAAGTTGGTCGTAGACGTTTGTTGTAATGATAAAAAATGTTTAAAAACATCATTTGCCGTAAGATGACTCAGTTTTTTTTACTGGCCGGCACTTTAATTTTTCGGTACATTTTGAATGATGTCCTTTACCTTAATTTTCGACTTTTTTTATTTTTCAGAATTTTCTCTTTACTTGTGCTGTAAGACTTTGTTTTTAACCAAAATTGACAATTCTAGGTCAACCGGGAGTGCCCTAGGGAA